TTTGGGGGGGGGGGGGGGAGCCACTCACAATTCCTTCAAAACTGGATTAAAATTTGGCCTCTCAAAGTGGATCCTGCAGGAGGCACAGGAGCAACAAGCCTGGTTTTGTGATCCTGAGTCTCCAATCTCAGTAAAAAGCCAAAGATTTTTACTTTAAAACCGGAGCCTTTGCTTCTAAGGAATAGACCTCCTTGAAAATCGGGCTTGCTTGAGAGTAAGACAGCATTGAGGGTGACTGCTGTCTGTAGTTTCCTTGGTAGGAAGCCCCATAAAAACCTAGGGGTGTTATTTTCAAGCAAGCTCACCCAGGTCGCCCTTCTGTGTTTTACTCAGTTGTGAGTAAATAGAGATTTGAAGAAGAAAGGTTCATCCGGCAGAGAGACCTTTGCAACCCATCCTGGATCTTTTTCCAAAAGCCTGTGCTAAGTCCACTGCTGTTGGTAGAGCATAGTAGTGGGGGAGAAAAAGAAAGAAAGAGGCATACAGGTCTAGAAATTGACAGTCTGCAGAACTTGGTACTATATTTAAAAGTTGAGTCAATATTTCTTCTCTTTTTTTCCCCAAAGGCGGCCGAACTTGCATCGGAACTCTGTTCAAAGGATGAGCGAAACCTTTGCCACCACTAATGTCTTAACAGGTACGGCCAACTGACGTGACATCCTCGCTCACCCCCTCCCTGGCCTTCCTTCCTTTAGCCAGGAAAGCCTCTTGGATCCTACAAAAGGATGAAACCTTTTTTAAGGGCTGTTGGCTTAGAAATCTAGGTTACCCCACAGTAGCCTTATATGACTCCTCTCTGGCTAACAGAATGCGTCTTTTATGCCCCTTGTTCCCGCTGCCAACTCTGCAGCAGCTTGGGTTCTTTTCTTTTCTTTTTTTGCCTGTAAATGGAGTCATTATTTTTACAATGTCATTCTTTTAATAGCTTTAAGTCTCTGCAGCTGCTTAAACAGCCCTGTTGAAATGAGTGAATCAAGAGGCACTCTGCACTCGGCCCACTTTCTCCCCCCCTCCCCGTTAGTAGTCAGGAAGACACAGCTCTACAGTTGTCCCCACTCTCTGGAATCTGTAATTTTAGATCCATCTGCAGCGAGTTCCGAAAGAGAAGAGCCCATGGCGCTCTGCCTTTTGCCCCTCCTTCCTTTCCCCTTTCCTTTTGGTTGTGTTGGTGCCAATTAGCCAGCCCCCAGCTTGAGTATTGGAGGCTGATTCCTTATCAGCTGGAGGTACATAAAAGTTTCCTTGGAGGCGCCAGGCTGTCTGCAGACCTGCCTCTGATCTGTTGCTGAAACTGACAAGAGCTTTTCTCTGCTCCCCCCCTCCGCTTTCCCCCACCCATTCAGGCTGCAGGTGTGGGATCCTGACACTTGGTTCTCTCCAGTGAAAGAAGGGGGAAAAAAAGAAGGAAAAATAGACCTTGACTGGAGGAAGAATCAGCTGTTTGAAACCGTGCATCCATAATGGACAGACCTCCGCCTTTATCTTCCAGATAAACTGTGGAACGTGGTTACCCAAGGCAATTTCAAACTTGACTGGGTCTTCCAATAACAACTTTTTTTTTTTTTTTTTTACTTCTGTGTTACTTTTATCTTCCATCTGCCTGAAAACAAGAAATTCTGCAGGCCAGGAGTGGGGGTGCTGGGGGGGAAGCAACTGCCTTTTATTGTCAAAATACTTGTCGGATTGCTGCATTGCACAAGAAGAAACTTGGTATCCTAAAGCAGTTTTTTGCAAAGGTAGAACAAGGGGGAAAAACTCTTGAGCCATCAGATTTGTACTGCACACTGTTCTGGCTGGAGGGATCTCAGAGAAATGTGGACTGCATACTTCCACAGTTGCAATGCTTGGCGAAGAGATCTGTGGAGAGATCTGTTTTTTGTTCTTTTTTTTAAAAAAAATGAGGCAAAAGAAATTGCAGATAATGCAGCTTGTGTGTGTATATTTTGGATTATAGTTTTTTAACTTCAGTTTTGGGCAGGGGTGGGAAGGGATGTAAGAATATGAAAGCTTGAACTCACTGGAGGTGGTTGAGCCTCATGAGTTATATTGTTGAACTCTATAATAGAGATGACATGTACCTTTTTTTTGGCAGGAAGGTGAATTTCTGTATCCGAGAATTGTACTTGCTTTGTAAAAAAACCAAAAAAAACTTTTTATAAAAGTTTCTTAATAAATTTTAAACTTTTTTAATTCCTTGCAAATTTTTAAGGGTTTTTTTTGGGGGGGGAGGAAAGGAATTGCCTTAAAAGTAACGTCTAATGCGCATACATAGCCAAGTACAGCTTGATCACAGATTTTTTTTTTTCATACTAAGAAGTTTAAGTCACACTATTTTAGTGTGGTATAATCATTTTGTTCAGCTGCATTCTGAAGAAGAGGTCTTCTAAGGACCCCTCATCTTTGTAAATTGTAACTTCTTAGAATAATTTTAATTCCGTTGGCTTTATTTTAAATATTTGTTTAACCTCCCAATTTAAAACAATGGCCCTAAATCTGGAGGCGGCCAACATGAGCTTCAAGTTTACTGGTTGCATTAAAAGATGTTTAGCAAGGAGGAACACTGTTCCTCTGAGTTATTAGGGTATTAGTATAAAACTCCTGATTGCCAAATCAGGCTTCTTGCAAACTTGCATTGGCAAGGAAACTGCCTGTTGGAAATAGGAGCATAATCTCTCCAGGGAAAGTGCTGAAAATTGTCAGCCAAGAGTGGGCCCGAAATATATCTGGATTTAGCAGGGGGTTTTGTTAGTGAGGTTGTGAGTCTCCCGTCCTGTGCTGATAATGTCAAAATGGAAGGCAGATTGACGTATGCAGGAATTAAGTGTTCTGTGACAAAATTGGGAATTGTATTCTTGGGTATGCAGACTTACTCAGTTCTTCCCTAAATGGATTTCACATTTTCTGGGTACGTGCATTGTGCTAGCCGTAATATGGCTTTTATTTTGGCCTGGTACGTGAGTGAATCCTGCTGCTGGTTTGTGGGGAAAAAAGTGTTTATGGTGTGGTATGCAACCTGGCTTACTTGAACTACTGTGAAACAAGCCTGTGTAATGCTTAAAGTACTTGGAGATTTGGCTCCACTGTGGTGTTCACTGGGGAAACTTTTTTCAATCATCAATCAGTCACTCTCAGCCCAACCCATCTTCCAGATTTGTATAGGGTTTAAAATAGGTCAGGGCCCAGAGTACACCCATTAAGCTTCCAGAGAAAAGGGGAAAGTATAAATGTAACAAATCAATATTGTGGTGCAGTAGGATGTGTGATCGGGGCCATACAGGATATGTTACAGAAGAAGTAGACATTACAGTTAAAATCTTGGGATGACTATGAAGTTGGGTTACAAACTGTAGAAGTGCTAATATTCAACAGGTCTTCCTTAATTAGCAATGTCAGCATATTTTCTGGTGGTGGTTTTTTTTGTTCCCCATCCTCCTGTAAGTTTAGAGCTATGTAATGCTAAAAGGGATGGTGGCAGGGTTAACAAAGCAGATGACATGACATTGTCTACTGAGTTGCCTTTAAACCAGGAGCACGTAAAATGAAGTTACGGTGTAGTTTGGTTTTGGCTAAGTATGTTGGGTGAACCCAGCCAATTAGGGTTTATTCAATAAATTAAATGGGTGAACAGGCCATGCATTGTATTATTTCTCTTAAACATCAACTTATTCGAGTACCTGCTACAGTAGCTGAAGGGTTCTGCATATATTAGGCTGCGAAAATATACTGAAGGTGCCCAAAGACATCATCTAATAACTTCCATTTATGTTTGGCATTTGGCCAGGAGTTGTTTGAACCAACTATCCAGAGTCATTGGCTACAAATAACATTGGGATGATACCTGTTGCCAAGGATCCTGAATGCCCTGTAGTGAAAGTGAACTGCAGGTCCTGGGCTGAAAACATCTTGGAGTCTTGCAAAGGTGTGGCAGAAACTCAGGGCAGATGCCATTCAGCTGTTTCTCTCTTGGAATGGGCCAGCTGTAATCCGCCACCCCCAAATTGGTTTAGAGGACAAACATTTTGCTCTGCAATAGGAAAGTCAAATACTAGGGGGGTTGTTTTTACCATGGGAATACTTCAGGGTGATGGGTAAGCATTTGTAGGATGCTGTCTGATGCAAGAAGGAATTCATGCGTACTGTAGTTCAAAGTTGTTTGGCAATGTTAGGAGAGAGAAAGAGGGCTGAACTATGTACATTCTCCAGCCTCACATCTCAATATAACCCTGATTGATTTACAGGCACTGGCTAATATGACGATACCTCTTCCAGGGTGGGAATCCCCAGCGGATTGGAAATGGAAGGGCAAACCTGTTTAAGTTGCTGTCTCAGGGCATATGATTTATGCAGTTAGGTTGTCCTTTTTTTTTTTTTCTTTCCCCCAATTCCTCAAGCTGGTATTTGTGTTTTGATGTACTGCCAGTTCTCCAGTATCGCAGGGTAAAGGTCAGATATGCTACCCAGCCTTGCTTACAATCTCTGCTTCGTTAACATCCCTTGCTTTGAACCTCTGCTCTGTTAACATTCAGTTAATAGTCACTGTGGAACCTAGTCTGTTCCTTTTTCAGCTTCACTGGAGATTGTGTGCTCAAAACTAGTTTGTAGCAGTGTTCACACATGGCACAAAGTCATACTGTGGTTGGTTTGGGTTTGTCTTAGCAGGTTGCGTGAAATTAAAAGCCAGCCTCCTTGTCACACCTAATTACTATCTGGCTGGTAAATTCACAAAAACATGCTTAGCCAGGCCAGTTTCAATCATAGCAGCTGCATTCACACAATACATTTTTAACTTTGGTGATTTTTAATAGATTAATGTACTGTGTGAGCCTAGGCTACTTTGGTTTGTTTATTCCTAAATTGTGCAACATAGAAAATTGGATTAATTAAGTAAACAGGTTAAGCATGTTACAAAAATCCACCCATTGATTCATCTATTACTTTATTGACCCATCAGTTGATCCATTGTTCCATCACTTTGTATTTGTCTTTCTCTATGTGAATCTCTTCTTAAAACTCCACTTCTTTCTGATTTGGAAAATCTCGAGAAATTCTTAAGCTTGGTCAGAATCTGTGTTGTCTTTCCAACAAAGAACATCAGGAGCTTCAGAGTGACAGAGACTGGAACGGTTTATAACCTCAGTTCAGATCCTTCTTTCCCTTCGACATGAGACAGATCCTGCTGGCATAATTTTCCAATCCATAGTTGAGACAAGCTGAAAAAATGACAACAAAAATGCTAATTCTTATGTAGCCAAAGAATGATTATATACCTAGAAGACAGGATTGGTTGTAAGCTTATGATGCTACAAAGTTTGCAAAACAGCTATATCGATACAGAGGGGGATAGGACCTTGTGAAAGTGGATCTTCAACAGTTTAAAGAAGGGTGGCCGTGGAATGTAAACTATTGAAGAGGAGGGGAAAAAAAGTCCTCCCCACTCAACACATCTAGAGGGTACAACATTTAGGGCTGCAGAAGGTAGACAGAATATCTTCTATCTCTTTGCTGCCCTCTATTGATTGCCCACATTTTTGCAGCCTAAATAGCAACAAGCCAGTCAGTCAATTCCTGTTGCAACCAATGGATCAACATTCAGTTGATCTGGAAGAAAAATAGGAGACCCTGTACGTGCAGGAGAAATGCTAGGATGAAGAAAAAAAGACACAGTAGTTAGAGGCAGTTGGACAAGGTTGCTCTTAGGCAGTGTTTCTCAACCTTGGCCACTTTAAGATGGGTGGACTTCAACACATGGCACAATAAGATTGTCTGTGTTCCCTGCTCCATTTGGAGAGAGAGTGGTACATTCTCCATTTGGAGAGAGAGTGGTACATTCTCCATTTGGAGAGAGAGTGGTACATTCTCCATTTGGAGAGAGAGTGGTACATTTTGAAGTCCACCCATCTTAAAAGTAGCTGAGGTTGAGAAACACTGCCCTTAGATATGAGTGGAACTACACAGAACAAACCTGAAGGGATATAAAAATGATTTGGGCCAAAACATTCTAGCTTGTTTGAGTGGTGGAGGAAGACTGTTCCACCCACACTTCCCCCAAATGGAGGCATGAACATCGTCATTTGTTTCCCGGGCGCAGATGTTTGTAACTTTGAACTCTTTCTTCCTGTCATCAGTCAGATGCCTGCTGTGGTGGAGAGGGAACATTCGCCTCCAATCTCTGCTCAAAACAGGTGAATGGAGAAAACTTAATCTCTGCAGCCGCCTACCCCCAGAAGCAAAGGACATGGCACAATAAGATTGTCTGTGTTCCCTGCTCCATTTGGAGAGAGAGTGGTACATTTCCTACAACCAACTTTTCTTGTCACCCACTGCCACCACCAGAGAAGGGCAAGTCCTCATACTGAAGATTCAGAGAAGTCATCAGGACTGAACTGATCAAGCTTCTTTCTCACCCAGAATTATGATGCATTTCCTCCATCCTTTGGCTCTGAACCAGAAAGTTCACATATCATAGTGAGCCCCATATGATTGGTGTCTTGTAAATCAAGCTTTATTGACTTAACATATTACATGAACCTAACTAAGGCTGGTTTATTTAATCAGCTATGATTAGGAAG